CAGTCCTTCTGAAGAGCGCACTCACAGCGGCTCATTCATTACGCCTCTAATAACAGCGGCAGGCCCGAAAGCACCAGGCTGCGGAGGAGCTGGCCTCTGCAGCTGCAGAAAGCCAATACCTTTTAAAATACATTTACACAGCAATAAATAAAAGCGGTCTCAGTTTACCTCTTTATTAAACGCTATTTGTGCGTCGGAGTTAAGGGCCGCATTTGTGTCTTGCTATTCAAATTTATTCGTGCGCCTCTCCTAGGCTGGCCGCATTTACTCCATCAGGCAGTCACGGTGGCGGGAGTGTAAGGGGGCCTTTCATCACCAAACTGCCCTCATGAAGGGCTGCTCCAGGCTCCTGGGCTCAATTTGGCCACCATGAAGACCACCCCCATTATCCAGAGGGGAAAACGAAGGCAGAGAACCATCAAGACGTCATTAGTCTCACCCAGCAACCCGCAGACGGATGACCTGAGGCTGACGGATCAATGCTCCCCAAAGTCTGGTGCACAGAGCTGGCCCCCTAAAGGTGTTGCCTCGTCTTACATGTAGTTCCGGTTCCCCATCCACGACACTGGAGAGTCACGGGCCAATCAGCCCAGGAAGGGCCCTGAGATAGCACGGAATCCATTCAAACTGATTTTGACCTTGGACGTTCACTCTCTCAGTACCCGATCTGTTTGGAGGAACCAGCATCCTGTGAATCCCTTTGCGGGCAGCTCAGGATGAGCAATCTGGAAGGGTTTTTGTTGTTGTTGTTGTTGTTTTCTATTTGAGGAGCTTGTGATTCCACCATGAGCAATTTCTTTCCTCCCCAGGCGGTTCCGAGTTCCCTAAGATGCCTCCTGCCTGACCCTCAGGGGTCTCTCTTATTTGAGAACCCCAGAATCTCTGGGAAAAGACTCCCGGGGATGTGCAAGCAGCGGGGTTGGCAATACACCTGATGCTGAAGCTCAGGGGATGCCTCTGCCCTTCCCATCTGAGTGCAGATGTGGTGGGAAGAGGCCGCAGGGCCCAGGACACAGTCCTTTACTCAGGCTGGAGCAGGGGTGCAGCAGAGTGCTGGCTGGTGGTGAGCAGAAGACCCGGGTTGGTGGGCTGGGACTCCCTGGGCAGGGGCAGGGTGGGCAGAGTGCCAGGAGGGTCACCTGAGGGTTCCAGAGTACATGGCCCTGGCTACCTGTGGAGATGAATGCCTTACCTCCCAGCAAGATCTAGCCACAACGGAACTGCTCCGCAACTCACCTGGGGAGTTCTTACTCACCTGGGGTCACCACAGTGGCTTCCCTATATGGAGAATGAGGACATGCCAGGGAATACCTCCAATGGAACAGCCGAGTGCTGAGGCAGCAGAATGATCATCCCCATTTCGTGAATAGAAAAAGTAGACACAGAGAGGTGGTGTGCCTTGCCAGAGGCCACACAGCTACCCAGGATTCCAACTTTGGAATCCCTTCTGATTCATCACCTCTGCATTGCTGTCCTTCCAGAAGAGATGTCAGGAATTATCTGAGCACTGATGGCCTCCAGGAGCTTCTGAGGGATTCCTGCCTTAGGGAGTGAGGGTGCTCTGTGTGGGCAGACTGTGGAGCGGCCCTCTCAGTTCTACAACCTACCATCAGTTCATACTTCCAAATGATGCTGAATATTGTGTTCCTTTCCCCCCAAGATTTTCTACTATAACCTGTCCTTACCCTTCCATTCTCCATCATATTCCCAAGAGGGATCTGCCCTGGGTGTAGTGGAATGGAAAGTGGCAAGAGACCAGTAGGTGAGGATTCTAGCTCAGGACTTGTGGATTCTTTGGCTGCAAGATCTTGGGCAGGTAACTTCACCTCTCCAAGACTGTTGAAGTCAAAGCATGAATCTAGGTCTCCTGTATTACTTTGACTGTTGAAGTCAAAGCATGAATCTAGGTCTCCAAGCCTGGAGCTATGACTTCTTTGGAAGGAAGAGCTTTCGTGTTGGTCTCAGGCTTGCCCAGAGTCTGGCTTGCTGATGTACAAGCAGTGTCTTTTCAGGGAAACTGCTTCACCTCTGTGGCTTTCCACACTGGAATAAGGCTGGAGAAATGCACACTTCACCCACAACACAGGGTCATTGTAAGGACTGAACACACAAGAAACACCCAGCGCCCTCAAAGAGCAAGTGCACAAATAAATGCAATGATCTAGCTCCCTTCTTTCCTTTTAGCTTCTGGGTATCTAGGCAGTGTGTTAGTCAGCTTTCTATCACTGTAACAAAATACCTGACATAACTCATGAAAAGAAAAGGTTTGATTTGGCTCACAGTTTTAGGGTTTCAGTTCATGATTGATTGGCCCTGTTGCTTTAGGCAGCACATCGTGGCAGGAGCATGGGGGACAGCAAACTGTTCACCCAAAGGCAAGGAAGCAAAAAGGAGGAAAGAGAGGATTGAAGCCCCGTAGTACCCTGAAGATGCATCCTCAATGACCTAATGTCTGTCTCCTACTAGATTCATCTCTCAAGGATTCCCCATGACTCTGGGGATCAACCATTTATCACCTGGTCTTTGGTGAGGGAGTCAGTTCTTTTTAAGTTCAGAGTCAAAGGAGCAAAACCTATCCACTGGCTGGTAGAACTGATGTGACCAGGTCATGCCAATGGAGTGGCCCAGAGTGCTGATCACCAGCTGTGTGGCCAGGGACTGGACTGTCCTAGACACTCTTCTCTCCCCACCACGGGAGCAGGAGATGGAGCCCAGTCCTCACCAAATGGCTCAACATTCATTCTCAATCCGCTTTTCCCTGTGGGTGGAGATCCAAGTACTGGATCTCCAGTTGTCCCTGCAGTTACAGGTGGCCATGGAATCAAGTTTTGGACCGTAAAACATATATATGTTTTTTTAAATGCCTTAATCTCTAGGGTGGGTTTCTGGAAGGACTGGGAGTGAAGGCCATGCTGTCTGACTCAGCTGTATGTGGGGGGCTGGTTTATGTGTGGGTATGTAGGTCAAAAATGATCAAATTGTGCCCTTGAATTAGCCTGATTTGTCAGATGTCAGTTACACCTCAAAGCGGTTTTTAAACTCTGGTGGGTGTGGTGGGAAAGAGATTTTCCTGACGGAGGAGAGCTTCATGAAACATGGCTTCCTTTTTTTCTTTTCCTGCCTCAAATGCAGGTGAATGTCTGAAGCCCACATGGGCATCTAACAACAGAAATAGCCAATGAGTTAGAAAGACCAAGAGAGTCCTTGAGAAGTAAATCCTAAACCCAACCAGAAGTCACCTTCTTGTTAGAGGAGGAAAATAAAAACCTGTTTGTTTACATCTCTGTGAGTGTCCCGGTTCCTTGCAGCCCAAAGCCTTCCTACCTGGACCTGGGCATGTCCTCACTATGTGCTGAGTAAACACAGGAAGGGTTGGGAAAAGCCACGAGTGGGAGGAAGGATGGGTCTCTATGGGCCGGAGTGACCAGGGTCTGGAATTAGAAATGATCTTGGAAAGGGGGGGGGGCAGGCTTTTGCTAGGAAGAGAAGACACAGTTGGTGGGTCCCAGCAGGGAGAACCACAGGAGCCAAGGGCAGAGAGATAGGAATGAGCAAGGCATAGAAGTTCTGCCAGATCAACCCACCCTCCGGAGGAGCAGAGGCAGGCTCCACACCCTCCCCCCATCTTGGCTAATAAGCCATCCCATATTTTCCTTTCCTCCCCATGTTATTTTTTTTTTCCTAGTGGCAGAAAATTACAGCTGACAAGTGGCAATTGATCTCTTCACATTATTTTGAAGCAATTATATTGAAATGGGAAACAATGCTTCTAGGACAGAGCCCGATAACAGACTCGAACACAAAGCTCCCTCCAAGATAGATAGGGAAGGCCAATTTGCACTGCATAGAAACTGACCAAATTTCCTTCCCCTGAAATTACAGTTAATTATTGCCTGGCAATCTTTAAAGATAACTTCTGCTTCAACCCAAGGGACAGAGAACAGCCCCGAGTCCACAGTTTGCCCTCAAGAGGGGCTGGGAGCCTTGGGAGCCAATAGACAGCCCTCAAACCTCTATATACCAACCGGTGCTCTGTGGACCTAGCACAGACACCCAAAACCAGCTTCTGCATGAAGTAGGATAATTTCCCAAACTTAGGATCCTTAAAAAAGAAAAAAAAAAAACCATCTTTCCATAGGCCCCTAATAATGACTTAAATGATTGTATGAAATGTTAATCAAACCTATACAAAGCCAGGAATAAACCTCTGCTTACGGCTTATTCATGATGGGAAAACTAAAACATCACTGCAGATTTCAAAGCAAGTGCATCAGTGATGTCCATTTAATAAAAAGGTGTCCTGCTGCCTTTTCTGCAGCTGAATTTGCACCTGTGACCTGCATGTGATGACACTGGTGTAGCCAAACTGAATTTTCCTTGCCCTATTCCCCTGGTGGTGGGATGCGACCATCTCCTCCACTTCTCTCTGTTGGAGCCTTGTAGTGTCCACTCACAGGGCATGCCACAGTGCCACTCGGGGGGGGGGTGAGGAAAGCTTGGATGGCTTTGCCCTTATTCATTAACCCACAGCAGGCAATATGGTGGCAGTGTGACTGTCAACCCAACAGGACATGTGATAGCACAAAGGGCATTTTGGAGTAAGGCGTCATTTAGAGTCATGGTTCTCAACCTTGGCTGCATGCCAGAATCTCTTAGGGGGATGATAAGATGGCCGTGCTCAGGCCACACCTCAGCCCAGTTAATTATGCTCCTGGGTAATCCAATGTGGTCAACTCAAGAACCAATGGTCTAACCATCTTCTCAAACTTTAGCTTGCATGAGAAGCATGTGGAGGACTTGTGAAAACCCACAGGGCCAGCCCCATCCCCAGAGTTCCTGTTCTGTGGGATCTCGGGTGGGTAGACTGAGAAGGCAGCATTTCTCACAGGTTCCCAGGTGCTGCTGAGCTGCTGGTCAGGGGACTGTGTTTTGAGAATCAACCATTTCAATAATCTGAATCAGCTTCTATTCACTTGTTGCAGATTATCATAGAATTAAAAGATTTACATCAAGAACCCACGAATCTCAGAGAATGCATCTGAGAACCTCAAACTTCAGTTTAAGAAATACCCATGGAATAGACCCATGTTTGGATTTGGAGTCCAAACCAGCAGGACTTGGATCCCACTTCTACTCACGTACCACTATGTGGTCTCTGGTAAGTCATTCACCTCTCCATACCCATCTGTGACTTGGTGGGATCATGGAGTCCATCTCAGAGAGCTCGCTGCACACAGCCAGGCTTGGTTAGGTGGTAAGAAGGTGTGGGTTTTGGTCCCAGCTAGCTGTCTGTTTGCAGGCTGTGCCGTCTCAGTCAAGATGCTTATCAGTACTATAAAGATGAGCCAAAGGCTGAGAACGTCTGGTGACTTGTTCCGAGGCTCAAATACATGCAACCTCGCTTTCTAAACTGTAAAGCACCAGATGACTTATTTTGTACGTTGAAAGGTATTCTGAAGGTAGTAGAGACACTTGTAGAAAAGTTTACAAAGAACCCAGTCTCCCTAATCGCATTCTTCTTTCCACATTTGGGGTGGATCTTCCTAAAGGTGAACCCCACTCACCATTTGTCAAGAAACCTCTGAATCTGCAAAACTAAAAAAAAATGACCCAAAGCTCCAAAAACATCTGCTAGTGGATGGACCAAAGATCTCTCCAGTCTCCAGCATTTGCCCCAAGGGAAACAGCTGGAATGAGCCTCTTCTTTATCTGGCTCTCAGAAGATGCACAACTTTTAGTGGACGTTCCAGATGTCGGGGGAAAAGAAGATTTCTTAAAAATGAGGAAAAATAGAAGTTCAGCCAAGGAAGAGAAAGGAGACCTCTTGAACTTCAGAGGACCGGCTACTGGCCATCCCTTCTCTGTGACCCCACTCGGCCACATCCCTCAGCCAGCATGGGAGCGACGGCAATTTTGATGCTGCTGTCCCCAAACCAGAAGCTCCTCGAAGGCGGCTCTGGTTCTTGGCACATTTGCCGTCTAGCCTGCATCTTGTGCCTGACACACAGCTGATGCTGCAGACTGCGGAATGAATGCTTAAATGACTGAAAGATAAAGGGTGCTGCAGACAAGCCGGCAGAGCACAGCGAACTCGCAGCTCAGATACATGCTGACGTTTCAACATCGGCGAGAGAGAGGAGGGGAAGGTATTTTACGAGGAAGCCAAGAGGGAGCTAGGAAAATCCTGTAATTGAGTAACATGACAGCAGATGAATTTCAGTTTAAGGGAACAATTTAAAGTGCTCGCATGAGCTGATGAGTTTTGAATTAGTCGTAACCTTTGAGGGAGAAGGGAAAATTGAAATGAGAAAGAGAAAGAGAGATAGAAAAGATCTTGATGTTGCTTTAGACCACTCAATGAAGAAGGCAGAATGCAGTGGCCAGTGTTGCAATTAAGATGTTCAGCGGTGGCGCACACCTGTAATCCCAGCTGCTCTGGAGGCTGAGGCAGGAGGATCGAAAGTTCAAGGCCAGCTTCGGCAGCTGAGCAAGCCCCTAAGCAACTTAGCAGGACTCTGTCTCCATACAAAAAATAAAAAAGGTTGGGTAAAAAAATAACAACAACAAAATAGTTCAGTCTAAGTGAGCAGGCAAGAAAGGAGAAGGGGATTATTTTAATATCTACAAGAGAAGTCTACCAAGAGGGAGGCTGGGATCATCCCCTTCCAGAAAGGAAGAAGGTCAAGTCCCAGGTTGTGAACAGCAATGCATTCAAAGACCCTTTTATGGAAAACTGAAAAATAGCAGCTGGGAACAGAGGAAGGGGAGTCCAAACCAGGAAATCCCATTTTCCTTATTTCATCTGTCAGAAGACAATATCCCAAACCTAAGCCAGAGAGAAGGAAATCACTTTTTCTGGGTAGTATGTGATTAACCCTTGGAGCTACACAGCAATTTCATTTTACTGTGACTTCTCACTTAAGAAGATTCAAAAATGAAAATTAAAGATGGGGTGTTCATGAGTGATTATGCTCCCCAGGACGTAACTAGCAGGGGCCATCAATTCTCAAATCCGAAGGAGCCAACTGGGGCCAAGCAGAACATCTCTGCTCCTTGGAATGTCCAGCACATAGAATGAGATGCTTTTAAGGGAACAAGTCTGCTTTCTGAAGCTGTTGCCTTTGGTTATAGAGGGAAAGATGATCTGAAAAGTCAACTGTGAACTTATTCCTGCTCGTTCTCCAAGGCAAATGAAGAGTTTCCTTTTTTTGGTTTATCCTGATCATGACCTTGACTCTCACAAAACATGCACACTTTCTTAAGATATTCTCTCTCTCTCGTTTTCTCTCTCAGTTTGGGAAGCATTTCTCAAAATTGTTGGAAAAGCCATTTGAAGAAAAAAAAAAAAACAAAGAAAGAAAGAAAGAAATCCTTAGCTCACAGGTGATCAATTACCCTGGGCAAAAACCCATTTGAAAGTCATCTCAAAAAAGCCGAGGAGCTGGCTTGAATGCTTAAACAGACATGACAGGCCAACTTGCAGGTGAAAGATCTGCTTTGGCTCCTAATATAAATAGCTGCGCTAGCACCACAGGCTGAGGATAACACACTCTCCACCTTGAATATGCTAAATGTCCTCATTATTCACCACACATGCAGACTGGCCAGGCTCTCTGTTTAAATGAGAGATGGGGCACAAGGTAGTTGACTAAAGTCAGTGACAAGCATGCTTCAGTTTTAGCAGACTAGCTCACAGAACGTCCAGTTCCCAAATAGGAGAAAGCAGGAGTCCCATTTGGAGTCCCATTTGATCACAGTGGTCATTGAGACCTCTTTTTCCCTGAGTGTGATACCACAGCCGGTGTGGTGACCTCAGGTTGCCTGCAGCCTTCATCGGACAGTGGCCTCTACTGGTAAGGTTTAATATTGCAGCCCAGCTTGAGTAGACCTGGTCATTAAAGTAGACATGTTAAGGCAGGGTTTTCTAGGGCATCAAAATGTTTCTGTGGAAATTCTTGGTTGAATATGAGGAGAAATGGAAAGACACCAACGGCTATGCTAAAACAACCCTCAAAAGAGAGGTGTGCCAAGGACTGTGGAGTTCCAAAAGGGTGGCAACACATAAACAGGAGTCTGTAACACAACTATTCATGCCAGAGAGAGCAGATGTTGGCACAAACCCTTATTTAAAAAAACATTCTTTGCATCAGTATTTTGAGATATGCAACCTAACTTTGTCACAGAAGCCAATGAGAAAATGATTTATTTTGTTATCCTCTCATGACCAACTTAATATTTTTTATTGCATAATGCTGTCACACTAGGGGTACCTTGTGATTGTTAAGGTACAAAGAACAAGTCAAGAAAACAAAGGCTCACCTGTCAAGATGGTTCAAAACTTCAAGCCAGAAGGATGAGGGGTGGTGCACAGAAATGACGTATTAAGCAGGGAAGGTCGGGGAAAGCCATAGCACCCATATTTCTCACTGCTCAGGAGCAACTGAGGGTCATAGGGCGGTGACACTTCTTCAAGGGCCTTTGAGCAGGATACTAACCTAGTTATGGATAGATGCAAGGCTAGCAGTCCAGATCCTTAAAACTTGATAGGCTGGCTCCTGGCTTTTCCAGTGACCTTTCCATTTAAAGAGCTCTCCTCTAATCCCTTCAAGAGATGATTTTATGTTGGAATATTCCCTCAATCCTGCACCAAAGTCTATTTCCCAAACTATCTGTCCCCCCAAGAATTGGCTAGGACTTTGATTCAGGAATTAGGGTTATGGTAACCTTATGCCCTTCTAGTGGCACTAACCCAGAAAACTGAGTCAGTGTGTCAAGGTGGAAGGTTGAGCACTCGAGAGCATGGAAGCCCCCCCCAGCCCACTCTGAGCCCTCTTCTAGCAGGAGTCCCCGTCCTGCTGCCCAGCCCCCAGCCCCTCTTGTTAGAGAGAACTTCAGTGCCCTTCAGGAGACAATTAGAGTTATCTTAAGGAAAGCTGAATGCGAGGGAATGAGCCTCCATGGACTCAAGAGCTTCTTCCCTCCCAACATGCCTTATGTTCCTCATAATGGATCCTTTCTTTAAACATTACACCCCTCAATTAGCTCATAATTGCTGTCCATGCCATATGAATAATGCATTGTGCAATGCAAATCCAGGTTCCCTGGCACTGGACAAATCACAAGCTGTTGAAGAAGCTGGTGTAATTACCAAAACAATCCCAGGAACCCTGGGGGAAATGAACATCCTCTGTCTGTCCTTCCACCCTGCCTTCCCACTGCAGCCTGGGGTCACCCCCACCCCACCTGGATTCTCTCAATAGTTTCTGCATTTGGAGCGTGTACCGTGTGCCAATCAAGGTGCTCACGTGCATCACACTTTACCATTTTAATTCCTCACCAGCGCATGAGGCAGATCTACGTTTCTATAAAGACCTATTTCTTCTGGAGATTGTGGGTCTCACAGTGCAGGGTTTGGTGAGGTTCACTTTTGCGGTATAAATGGAAAAGAGGGTTTGTTTTAGCCAGTGACAAATGTCATGCCAAAGGGTGGCTTAGAGCTGTGAAAAAGAACAGAGAGGGCGCTTCAGAAGCTCTCAATGTGTTAATGACCAGGCAAATTACATATATAGAAACTACTTCTTTAAACCTCTAAGGCAGGGTTAAGAAATATATTCATAAGCATTACGATTGCACTTATCTCACATATTCAAATTCACGTATGCCGATTCGCCACTGTCTATCCTTTCATATGGTCCTTTCACATCACTTGGTTAATGCGTGTACATACACGTGTGCATGTGGTCATATCTGTTCATAACAGTCATTTTGCACCCAGTAGTTCTTACCTTCCTTCTACCACCATTTCTAGATTTTCCATAAAAGCATTTTCCATAAAACAAATTATTCTCTAAAAGTTCAGCCAGCTTTGAGGAGGTGTTTATCTTCAGGCTCTGTGCATGTTTGAAATAAACTGACTGAGGCATCTTCTTTATCCTACTCCTCTTTCGGGAAATCACGTGGAGGTAAAGCTTTTAATTATTCACTCAATTCCTCATTCATCTATTCTCTCTTCAAAGGTTTATTTAGGCCCTATTATGTGCCCCCATTTTGAGCAAGGAGATAGTGTTGCTAAAGATAAATAAGGTGTGATCCCTATCCCTTCTTTCTAAGTAATTTGTGGTCTGCCACAGAGGAGACAGAGGGCCCCTGTAGCTCAAACTGACTATTTGCACTTAGGGTTTAATAAAGGGAGCAGAGGACAAGGGCTTTGAAGCAGACAGGCTTGATTTCAAATCCCCACAGCACCACTCACTAATTTTATGGTCATTATGGAGCTCAGTTTCCTCATCTGCAAAATGGGAGTAAGTAATAGTACGAACTTATAGTGTAAGGAGCGCTCTTGACAGAGCATTTTAGAATTAATTTATATTTTTCAAATATCAGGCATATATCAGTTTGAATTTTAACTTTAAAAAAATAAGTTTATGTAGAACAGATCCTTGAAGAACACTCAGAGATTTATTCATCCAGCTCTCTGCCCAAGGATGATTCACTGATCTCATCTGACTCTTATTTTCTTCATTGGACAAAAGAAGAATAGAGAGCCCTTAAGATAGCTTTGATATTGAAAAGTCAATTATTTTTGAAGGTAACAAATTATAAACCTCCCTGGTAGTCTTCCCATTGGAAGGAAATAGGATTGGGGTCAGGCCCAACAGAGTGGATGGAGAAGGGGTGGGTGTTACCCAGTGGTTTGTGAGTGATGTGACCAAGAGACAGTAGGGAGCCACGGTCAGGCAAAGATCCCATATCCAACTTGGAAGGTGAGAGAGACTTCAAATAGAAGAGCAACTTCAGAGTTGGTGGCAAAAGAGATTGAGAGATTACTCAGAACACTTGGAATGGAACCACTATTTGACCCAGTTGTCCCACTTCTCTGCATATATACAAAGGACTTAAGATCAACAGTGATGCAGCCACGTCAATATTTATGGCAGCTCAATTCACAATAGCCAAGCTATAGCACCAATCTAGGTGCCCTTCAACAGGTGAATGGATAAAGAAAATGTGGTTCATATAAACAATGGAATATGACTTACCCATAAAGAAAAATGAAATTATGGTATTTGCATGTAAATGGATGGAACTGGAGAGTATCATGCTAATTGAAATAAGCCATTTCCCCCAAACCAGAAGCAGAATGTTCTTTCTGATACATGGATGCTGACTTACAATAGGCAGGGGTCGGGTAGAGAGGAGGGGAGGTTCATCTGATCAAACAGGGAGGCGTGGGGGAAGGGAAGAGGGATGGGAATGGGAAAGACAGTAGAATGAATTGGACATAACTTTCCTTTGTTCATATATGAATATACAACCAGTGAAACACCATATCATGTTCAACTATAAGAATGGAATCCTCATTAGACTCAGTTATACTCTATGTATATGTATATGTCAAAATACTCTCTACTGTCACATATCTTCAAAAAAAACAAGTAAAAAAATAAAAGGAGAGAGAGAGAGAGAGAGAGAGAGAGAGAGAGAGAGAGAGAGAGAGATATTAATGTGGGTTTCAGGTAGACGAGGCCACCTCTCCACATGGCAATTCCTTCATTCATTCCACTCATGCAACAAATATTTCTTTAGTGCCGACTGACTACTCTCCAGGCTGTGCTGGATGTTGGCATGCAACATGACTAAATAGGCCTGGTCCCTGTCCTCATAAGATTTACAGTCTAATGGGAGAATCGGGGATGGGAATTAACCAGTGAGGCTGGGGGAAGAGCGTCCATGAGCGAAGGGCACTGTGAGATGCCCTTCTGCTCAGAGTGGGGGAGGGGAGACATTCCTTCAAAGGGCTGATCAAGACACAGAAGCAAACTCATTTTTGTCTTCACTTAAACATGGGTTTAGATGCAAATGTATGGGAGTATCAAAAGATTTCTGGCTCCAAGGTTCTAGAAACTGCTGCTATAATACCTGTTTCTTGTGGGTGGACTCAGATTCGAGTCCAGATTCCTGCTTTTCCTAAATCAGCTCTTCCGGGACTTTAAAAGCCAGGAATTGTTCCTTCGAGCAGAAGCTGGACATGAGCCCTGGTTCGTCTTACATGGAGCCTCCCTCAGTTTCCCATACCCTGCCCATGACCTTCCTGAGGAGCCCTGCTTCTCTGCTCACAGAGAAAAGGGGGAAGGCAAAGAATGGAGGAAGCGAGAATCCTGAACTTCACTATTATTCTTGTGCCTTTCAAAATGTGCTAAATAGCAAAGTAGTTCCACCAAATGTCAATAAGCATGATGTAGAGAGAAAAAGGGGTTCAGAACTCCACGAGTCTGGGAAATCGAGTTAACAATTTTTGCAGGCTTTTATTACAGGACTTATCTTGAGCCTTTGTTATCATGTTGTGCTTTGTCAGTCTCTAAGATATCATTTGTAATATTTTCCAAACGTGTTTGATCATGAAACATGGTTTTCCTGGAATAGTTCTTGGGATGGATTATTTCAGAATTTGTTTTGGTAAGTGTTTTTTTTTTTTTTAATGTAAGCTAAAGTCAAGATTTAAAAATGGAATGAATTTCAGAGATGACTTTGTCCTCACCTCTGATGCTAGAGGAATCTAGATACAAGCCAGTGATCTACATCTACTCCTCTGGCCTGACCGTAAGTTTGTCTCTTCCACTGTGAATTCTGTGGATTATAGGAGAGAGAAGCACTGAAAAGGAATAGGAGATGGCTGCACTTGTTGAGGATTCAGTGCTGTATGAAAGGCATCTGGTGCTGAAGCAGTGTTCAGTAACTTATTAGCCTCCCTCTTCTCACCCCAAGGAATAAACATCAAACTTTATATAAATATTCTATATGCAAATATTCATAGAGAATATTAAAATGTGAGGTTTTGTCCTCATTTCTAAGGGAACATATTAATCAAAGTGAGACACTGTGTTCAATCCTGCTGATCCGAGTTTCGGCAATGCTAGTTCTCCCAGGAAGTTGTTCTATTTTATAACCTGGTGTTAAATGTCATGAAATAAAACCTCTCTGGAGTTTATCATCCTTTATAGGAAGGTAGGTTTCAGAATTAGAGCATTTCAAAGTTTGGGCTCCCTGACATTTTAGTCAAGCAGAAATAGACTCCATGGGCCAGGGCTGGGCTGGGGGTGAGCCCCCGGGAGCTCCTACCTGTCTACCGTGGGCCCTTCTTCCCAGTTAACATCTCCTCTCTTCTTCTCTTAGAAACTTAACCCTATCGTGCTGAAGTGCTTGCTGGTAAATTCTCTGTGCTTCTGCAAACCCAGGAAACTTCCAGGGATTTTGGCCTCCTCGTTGATTTGGGAAGATATTGATTGTTGAAAAGAAAAAAACAAAAACCATCCAGCCTCAAAGTTGAATGTTTGGTGTCAAGCAGAGAACTCAGCCTGTGTTGAGCAGGACTGGAGCCGGAGTCCACGCTGGGCACTGGCACTGTCTCTCTGCAACCAGTCCGAAGGGAAGAGAAAATGCTCAACTTCAAGAACAAGCCTCCTTTGTGGTATGCACTTGGAGACCAGGTGCCCAGCAGCAGCCCAGTCCTCTATGGCAAATAAGTTGCTCAGAGTTGAAAAACAAAACCAAAGGCCAATTGAACATTGCTGAACGTACATTTTATGCACTGTCCGGGTCAATGATAAGACTCCATTCTCTGGTACTCACCCACGTGACAGCCTGGGGAGCACTGTAGATGGGACAATAACAGGCTGGGGCCGAGGGTCTGGATTCTGATGTTGCTTCTTCCACTCACTGGAACAACCTTGGCTGGGCTACCTGGGACGAGCCACGGTCTCTGCTGTTGATGCTGCGTCCATCCTGTGGGCATGGAAGCTGCTTGCCTTGTTATAAACATGACGTGGGAGGCAGGAATGGAGCTTTCATCCTAGTATCTGTCTGCCCCTCCAGGGAAGAGGCCACACTTGGTGCTCCAAGAGGAGCCAGACACCCTTCACCCTCCAGGGCTCCCCTCCACCCAGTAGAAAGTCAAGGCCTCTGCGATTCACAGAGGGGAGGGCTGGCTTGTTTCTGGCCCACATCAACAACTTAGATTTTGCAGACCTCGTACCCTTGAGCCCAGGAGGTTATGAAAGTGTCCTGTGAGGAACAATCTGGTCTGCTTGCATAGAGCTCTGAGATCTACCCAGTAAGGAGGTTTCAAATGGCTATCTAAAACTGATTTTAGAAAGGAGCCGCCCTGGCAGCTAATGCTAAGTGGGGGTGTCTCTCAAATGATAGGGCCTGGGTTCTGCCTCCAAAAGGGACCTGAGGGTTTTAGGCAGTGGTCAGGGGACACTGGGCTATGTTATTAGCACAGGGGATGCTGAGGAGGGTCTCCAGTGCATGAGAGGGTCCTGAAAAGGCCATCACTTCCTCACTTCTGTGCTTGCACCTTAGAAGCCAACTAGAGTCTTCTCAGAGCACAAATGTTTCTACAGTCACCCAAAGACCGCTTCTAGAAGGTTCTGTAAAATTCTAAGTCCAGGGGAGACCTTCATCTGAGGCAGCAGAGCAGGCTTGGGATGGGTCATAGAAAGATGAGGACACTGAGGCAGGAGGACTTGGGAGGGGACACACCATGAATCAGCAGCAGGGCTGGTTCTGAAACCCAACCTCCTGGTGGAGGCAGCCCCCCCCGGGAGGCTCAACCCTGCACTGAGCTCCCTGAGCACCCACCAGCAGGGGGAGCTCTGCCTCAGGGCAGCGTTCAGCATCTCCTGGCAGGAGGCACATCTTCCCTGTGGAGGAAGTGAGTTGAAAGAGCCATCCCTAAAGGCCCAGGCTGGCAGGCGAGGCCGCACTGTCCTGTATCTCTGCTCTGCAGCAACTCCCACCCATCCACCCACTGCTAGCTCCTCCTGGGTCCTTGGGACCTCTGAAAATGATTCCATCCAATAGGAGGGCATGAGTTCCTCCCAAAACATGTGCATAAGTTTCCTCATCTTAGTTGGGACAATGACAGGGACAATGACCTGTTCTAATACCTGTCAGGGACTGTGCCGGCAGAGTGGCTCCCAGTAGGGAGAGGTGGAACCAGAGTGCAGGTGGGTGGGCTTTTTAACCAGAGAAATGTGTCTATTGACCTTTGCAGACATTTATTGAGCACCTACTAAGTGCCAGAGGATGGACAGTCATGATCCCAGATATCTAATCGGGGACACGGAGTCCAACTTTCCTTCTGAATGTCAGCTGCCCAATCCTGGGCTTTGTGCTGCTTCTCTTTCTTCCTCACTCTTTTTTCTTTCTTCCTTAAGCCACCAACAAAACTCTGACCTCTCCCCGCACACACAATGCAGGCAGTCACTCATGCATTAACAACCACTGGGCCCCAAAGGTCGTTTCTATGACAACCCCGGGGTCCTTAATGACCCTGGCAGGCCAATGATTTTGTTTTGTTTGAGAGTGAAGGAATAATAAGTCAGGCCGGCTTGCTCAGGCGCTGGCCCCTCTCCCCCTCGCCCCCTCCTCTCTGCACTGATATACTGTTCATTATCTGCTGTTGCATCAGCCCCAGAGACGGGGCGGCAGCCAGCTCTGAAAGACAAGAGCCTGGCTGCAGACAAAGAGCTGCAAAGGACCAGAGTGTGCCCTGCATCCAGGGCCGCCTGGGCTTCATCAATGCCTTCGCGGGTAGGGAAGTGCAAGCAAGGACCCTGAGGTCCCCAGCTCCTGGGGCCCTGTGGCACCTAGATGAACCCCCAAATCACTATGCAGTTCTTTAGAAAAGCATCATGTGACGAGCCCTGTTGGGAGACCTCCCTACCCAGGATGTGTGCCCGACTGGCAGCCAGGCAGCGCGGCTCCCGAAGGCAAGACCTATCATTTTAATGATGGGATGAACAAGCAATTAATGTGAGCCCACCAGCCTCCATATGGATCATCAGTAACTGGGGAGGCTGGGCCGATGGCGCAGACAAAGGCAGGAACAGGGCGGCCCAGCTGATCCCCCGTCCTGGCCTCCGGTGGAGCCCTGCCCTCTCGGTTCTCCAGTTTGGTTCTCTGGTTCTAGGCGGAGAAACGTCCTGGGGAGGAAGCTTTCATTGTCTTCTGATCTTGGGGCCAACGGGCCTCTAGCTTGTCACATTAATTTTCAAACGTGGCGTTTGGCAGCCTGGGATTTTACTAGCAGACACTTGGAATTATTTTTGTTGTGTGTGCAGCGCTAAAATCCCCTAGAATAAGTCATTATCCTCAAAAAAAAAAAAAAAAATCAGCTCCTACTGGCTGCCTGGTGGCCCAATCAGCAGACTCATTCTCCATGCTTTCCCTGAAGTAATTAGCGTTTTCATTTTTCCCAACCTGCCTATTAGATAAACTCCAGGATCCCCTTCGGTTGAAGCACATTTTTGTGAGTTGACTCGCCTCAGCCTCTCCCCAGGAAACAAAAGGAGAAATCTGGAGACGGGCACAAAGAAACGCATGATCTAAGCTGATGTTCCCCTGCGTGGACTATTAGTCACCAAGAAAGGGCAGCGTGCTGTGGCCAGGGGAGCCAGGGTAGGGTGCTGAGGGTGGGCACAGGCATGTGCTCTGGACCCTGCCATGATACCCCGCAAGAGCATTTGGTCATTCACTAGGCCGTTCCCGAGTACCTCCCAGAGCTCACCAACCCAAGGGTGCAGAGACATGCCGGACAACAGCACCCTTCATCCAATGCTCCTCTGGTATCATTTGTCCTTTGTCCACTGAGGCTGACTGTTGATCAGGGATGGTAAACTCTGGGGTCACATAGGTCTGCAGCAGCATGGGTGAGGGGTGAACTCAGGGTGCGGGGGGGACATCTCCCCTGTATGAAACAGGCAGCTGCAGTTCTAGAAGGTTTCCAGGGAAGACATTCTGCTGGTCAAAGATAACATATTTGTATAAAGCCAGTGGTTCCAGGGCCAGCAGTAGGTACCCTGTGCTCTATACTTTGGTGACTTTAAGTCAGATGGGTGACCAGGCATACTGATGCTCCGTGGGAGCTCTTGGAAATGAAGACCCTTGGGCCTGAGGTGTCTCCTAGATGATCCTCCTAGACAGACCCCCTGGATCTCCTGCATCATAAACTGGATGATCCCTGTGAATATTAAGGTTTAGGAAGTGATGGGGTACATCTCCGAGGTCTTTGAAGTTGGCTGGAACATTCCCTAGCATTTTCCCTGTGCAGGTTGCTCTTTGAACTTTCTTACGCACCTTCGTTGGGACGTCTCAGGGTAGAACAAAAGTCCATTCAGAACATAAAAAAGGATCTGAGGTTTCTCTGGTCCAAATCTCTCTCTCAAGAAGAGAAAGAATTAAGTTGTCCAAGGCAGATGGATTGCTGTTTTTTTCTCTTCTCCAGGGCTGAGGCTGCTCAATCTCATAATTAATGCATTTTTTTCCATTCTCATTTTCTAGAATTTATTCTAGCTATGGGCACAATTGACCACTGTTCTTCTGAAATTCCCACCTCCAGAGGCCCCTAATCTGGCACCACCCTGGTACGTATCCCCATCCTTCTCTAGCCTTCCAACTTCCTTCTCCTCCTCTAACATTCTAGATGTGGCAGGGACTGTCCCCAGGGCTCTGTCTCCTGCTGTCTTCACTCCAGAGTTCCTCTAAGCACTTGGACCTTCAAACCTGCTTCTGAACTTCTCCGTCTCTGGGAGACATAGAAGGTGTTTTCCAACTGCTTGGTGCCACTTCAGGCTCAAACGATCTGAAAGAACACTGTCACCCTTGTCCCAAAGCTCATTCTACTTCTGGTGACATACTTACTGTTAGTGGCCTCCTCATTTGGGCTTCAACTGGGCGGTAGCTTGGAAGAGTAGAGAGGCCAACGTTGGTGTGGGATGTAATGAACGTTTATTTCCCACTCTCGCCCATAATCAACAATTGCAAAATCTGGCTGCTCTGACCTCCTAGATCTCTCTTGCCACCATACCACCTCTGGTAGCTCCAACCATGAGTGACCCCATGAACATTTGTTCACCTGCACTGCAGGGAGCCTCTCTGAGAATCTCCAGGTATCTGCCCAAGGCATGAGGCTCAAGGAAACACCTTTATCAAAAACTGGCCATGTGCCCATAGGCCTCCTAGAGGAAGCCCAGAATCCCCATGGTGGCTTTGAAAGCCCTTCATACCATGATCCCTGTGTGTCCCACACTCTTCGTGCACACTAGGCCCCAGGTGAATGAAAGCTGTGTGTTTTCCTACTGCTCCCTTCAGCTGGAATGCTCTTCCATGATCAATTTTACCTGAATCTAGGTGCTTGCAGGTGTTTAAGGCTCAGCCAGGGCCACTGCCACCTGCAACTCGGTTCTGGCCTTTGTGGTCAGCAGACGCCTGAGTTGAGGTCTTCTTTGTACTTCCTCCAGTGGCACTGGGTGGGTGTTGTAGGTGAGTGAGGGCTCTCTCCCTGGTCACCTTCTTACTCTGTCCTCACGTGACCTCTCCTTGGCACATGCTGGGGATGGGGGTCATTCAGGGGCTCTCTGGTGCATCTTATAAGGACACTAGTCCTGTAGGATTGGGGCCCCATTCTTGTGTCCTCATCTATTCTTAATTACTTCCTTAGAGACCCCGTCTCCAAATACAGCCACACTGGAGGTTAGGGCTTCAACGTGAGTTTGGCAGAGGCTCGGGGCCCCTGAACACACTCGCCCTTAGAGGTCGCTCACTTTGGCTGTTAATGTGCACATTTTATTCTTCCTTCAAAGTCCCAAGTTTTCCAAGGATGGAGCTTGTGTCTTGTCTCTTTAATGGTACCACCTGTGTGAGAGATGCTTAGTAAATATTCATTGGATGATCATACACAGGGCCTCCTTCCTCCTCTGAGTCGTCAGAACCCTGTGAATCACCTCAATGACCGTGGCCTTATACGTCAGTACCTGGGCCCTCCTGCTACCCACCCTCCTCCATCTGCTCTTCTCCATCCACCTGGGATATGGAAGGAGCTCATCCATGCTTCTTAGAAACTCTTGCTGAGGCCCCCAAGTAACCTGGGTAGCTGCCTTTGGCCTGGCGAGGACCTCATCTGACTACTGCCCGTATGCAGCAGCACAGTCATGCTGTAGCTGCCCGTTTGCCTTCCCAGGACCCCTCTAGTGAGAAATCCTCTTCTTGCTTCTCCTGCTTTGGGTGCCAGGAACTTAACTGCAATTGCCTGTTTGCTTGCTGTCTCCCTAAGCGAGTCCCCCGAAAGGCAGATACTGGGGCTTTTTATTCCCATGTACCTAACACCTGGCATGTTTGTTTGACAACTAATAATATTGCAATTAAATATTTGTTGAAAAAAATGAATGAATAAAAACAGGAACTTTAAAAAAATTTTCCTATCATTCCTCTAACCTGCCTGAAATTGCCTTTTAAAAGAAAATTTTCTTGTAACGTTTCAGGCAATTACTTTACATGACTGTTCACAGGATAGTCTCATTTCAGGCTCCGTGACAATGGGGGAAAAGATTAGTATACAGAGAAGATGAAAGAAGGGAAATTGGAGATCTACATTAAATTTGAAAAGAAAATTCCCCAAGAACAGTGGTGTCTTGACATTCATGAGAAATATGTTAAAAAAAAAAAAACATCCCAAAGACTCAGCTGCAGTCATTGTGGTACAGCTTGTGGTTTCCATCCAGGGGGACGTGGGAAAGAAGATGTGAAGCCATCAGATCCAAAACCAACTCTGATGACAGGAAGAAGAGAGGATGATATGAACGTGCATGGGGCCAGGTCGCTGCTGAGCGCTATACGCATACTCTCATTTAATGTTCTCAGCAATTACAAAAGGTCAGAATTATCATTTCCATTTTACAGTTGAGGAAAGTTGAGACCCAAAGTGGGCAAGTCACTTATCCAAGAACCTATGTACGTAGCTAGGATGACCAACATCCTGGTTTGCCCAAGAAGTGAGGCTTTCTGTTCTAAGATGGGGAAAGTCTTCATGTCAGTGACGGAGGATGTGTTTGAAGCCAGTGATGTATGCCAGAAGCTATTGAACACTACTGAACATCTGTTTGGTAAAGACTGGCTAAAGTGTTCACCAAGGCAAAATTTTTGAAGTGGTCAGTTCAATAGAGTTATCTAGCACTGTAAGGCGAACAAGTTCACGTTCTACAACCAGAGATCCCCAAGAGCTGGGAATGCTGTCTCATTTCTCTTCTTTCATTGCATGCTCCCTACATCAGACCTTATACAGGGAAGGTATTTAGGAAGAGCTTGGTCCAGGTGAAATCTTTTCCCTCCACCCAAAATGAAGAATCCAACCCATCATTCATTGATAAAACTTGGCTCTTCCCATGCTAATACTCCATTTCAGTTGTTCTTCTCCCTTGTCTCTTCCTTCACCCATGCATACCCACAAACTGCTAGCTTTCTCCTCATTATTCTCCAAGGTTCCCAACTTGCCATTGCACTGGGGGGTATGTGTCTCCAAATGCCATTATTCATTTGGTTTGCTCCCCACACTCCCTTTTTTTTCCTTACATATGTTTTTTTAGTTGTAGATGGATACAGTACCTTATTTATTATTTTTATGTGGTGCTGAGGATTGAACCCAGGGCCTCGCACATGCTAGGCGAGTGCTCTACCACTGAGCCACAACCTCAGCCTGGCTCTTTCCCTTTTAATACTGTCCCATGTAACTCCAGTCAAAGTTGCCCATTTGCCTATCCAGGTCCAGCTAACGGGGAATTATTTATTTACTGTGCCCACTCTGGGTGCTGGAAACTTAGCCACAATTGCCAATTCACATGCAGTTATAAACATGACAATATTTTTATGCTTTCCTTCATTGGGGACTTGGTGAAAGATTAGTGGATATGACAGGGGCTTGTTCTCTTACAACATCTGCTTCCCCTTCTCCCTTGGGAATGAATTGTTTCCCAGTGGGCATGGCTGCCCTCCCTCAAGAGCACATTTCCCAACCTGCCTTGCTCCATCATGTGACTCAGTCCTGGCCAATGAGAGGAGGGTGGAAATACCTGGCCTAGAATGCATTCCAGGCCTTTCCTGAGGGGACCTGGTATGCACCCGTCACCCCGTCTTTCCCATCGTTTTCTTTCCCTGAGGACATGAGGGCCACTTTGGACTCCAAGGTCAAGGGTTTCACTGTAGGGATGGCAAGATGGTGCTCTGGGAGCTTCCTGGGTCCAGACCCCATGGGACCCCATATTGGCCCTTTATCTGTCTTCCCAGACTTTTATAAAAAAATAAATAAGATTCCACTGTGTTGGAGCAACTGTTGGTTGTCAGGCAGTCACAGTTCTAAGCCTAAATAAA